CAAGGCTGACCTGATTCAAGCCATATTTATCTGAGAACTGGATAATGAATAATGATGATAAAAGAATTTATGTCTCTGATTTGGGGTGCTGGAGAATATACCATAAGAGAGTGCCAAACCTCCTCCCCAAATCTGTCTTATAGGAAGTGCACGAAGGGTGCTCCCAAGAGGAAAGGATAGTGAAACTTCATCTCACTTTGGACATATTGTTTAGGTGGGGTCATTCCTTGGAAAATGACATCATGCTTAGAAAGGTGGTCAGAGAAAGAGAGGAAAATCTCCAACACGAATGACTGACACAGTGACTATAACAATGGTCTTGAGTGTTTCATATATTGTGAGGATGAGGCAAGATAGTGCAAGTTTCAGATCTGTTGTTCATAGGGTCACTTTGAGTCATAGTCAATCTGGTGGCACCTAACAACTGCAAAAGACCTCTTTATTCAAAAGTAACGATGTCATTTTGGTACTGTGCTAACTCAACTATTTCAACTGCCTCATAGGTCAATAACTAAGGAAGACTTAAAAAGTGCTACCTTTTAATTAAGGTGGTGATAAAGAATACTGAATATGGATCATTAGAGAAATTAATAAATCTGTTTTTATATGAATTATAGGCAGAATGTTCCTGAAAATCATAGATAGTGATGTTTCTTCTCATGTACCTTGGACATAGTATCAGGCAGGATCAGTTCCTGAAGAAGGACATTATGCTTGGCGGTATTGCAAAAGAGGAAGCCCTTCTTGGAGACGAATGGGCAGGGCCTACAACAATGGATACAAATGTAGTAACGATGGGAAGGATGGGTCAGGACAGGATATTTCCTCGTGTTGTATACAAGAATGCTTTGAGTGGTAATCGATGGCAACTAGCAATATTAGGAAACTTCTGTGCCATCCATTTGAGTACGACTCATAGTGCCAGTAACTTATAGTGCCAGTATCAACAACAGATTTGAATCTTGTCTTTCCTGTGCCATCCTTATCATCTCTGACAAACTCAAGTCCATTGCCATAGTCACCATGTCAATTTAGCTCACTGATGGTGGTCCTCTTTTTCACCTACCCTCTACTTTTCCAAGCACGATGCCCCTTTCCAAGGAACAGCCCCTCCTAACATGTCAAAAGTATGTGAGATGAAGTTTCACCATCCTTGCTTCTAATTAGCACTCTGGGTGAACTTTCCCTAAGACATATTGGCTGGTTCTTTTGGCTATCTTTGGGATATTCAGTACTAGTTTCCAACACCACAACTCACAGGCATCAATTATATTATCCTTATTCATTCTCTAGTTCTCAGATATACAGCAAGTAACTGAAAAGATCATGACTTGAATCAGGCACATCTTGGTCTTTAAACACATCAGTGCTCCTTAGGACGTGGACAGGTCCCTGACACCAGACTTCTCCAATGCAATGTGTCTCCTGAGCTCCTGACTGCTGGTACCAAGGGTGCTGACTATAGATACAAGTACGATGAACTCAGTGATAACATCAATCTTATCTCCATCTACCATGTTGTTGCGTATTGATCCAGTGGAAAGGATTTTTGCCTTCTTGATGTTGAGATGCAATCTGTATTGAAGGCTGTAGTTTTTTATCCTCTGCAGTGTTTCAAGTCCTCCTCACTTTCAGCATAGTCATCTGCAGAGTCCAGGTTTTAGATGAGTCTTCTTCCAATCCTAGTATCACATTTGTCTTCATAAAGTCCAGCTTCTTAGATGATTTGCTCATCATATCACTGGATAAATATGAAGCTACAACTCTAATAAACACCTTTCCTGATTTTGAACCATCTCAGCTAACAGATGCTGCCCTGGATGTGCTCACCAAGTTGTGCCAAGAAATCTGGAGAACAATCACTTGCCCAACTGACTGGAAGAGAGGTTGGCATAGGATAGAATGGCATTTAGGGCTCTTGTATGTAGGGTCACTGTGAGTCGCAAGTGACTCAATGGCACATAACAGCAACAAAGAATTAAGTATTCCTAGTGAGCAAATGCTGCTTTGAAGGAAATGGCAAAAAATAAGGCTCCAGTAATAGATGGTATACCAATTGACATATTTCAGCTAACAGATGCTCCCCTGGACGTGCTCACCAAGTTGTGCCAAGAAATCTGGAGACCAACCACTTGGCCAACTGACTGGAAGAGATCTATATTTGTTCCTATCCCAAAGAAGGGTGACCCAACAGAGTGTGGAAACTATAGAACAATCTCACTGATTTCATATACAAGCAAGATTTTACTGAAGGTTATCCAAAAACGACTGGACCAGCACATCAGCAGAGAACTACCAGAAGTCCAGGCTGGGTTTAGAAGGGGTAGTGGTGCTAGGGATATTGTAGCCGATGTTAGATGGATCTTAGCTGAAAGCAGAGAATACCAGAGGAATGTCTATCTGTGTTTCATTGACTATGCAAAGGCATTTGACTGTGGATCATAACAAACTGTGGCTGACTCTGAGAAGAATGGGAATCCCAGAACACTTGATCGTGCTAATGCGAAACCTATACTTGGACCAGGAGGCAGTCGTCAGAACAAAGCAAGGGAACACTGCATGGTTCAAAATTGGGAAGGGCATACACCAGGGATGCATCCTATCCCCATACCTTTTCAACCTATATGCAGAAAAGATTATCCGGGAGGCTGGGCTCTATGTGGAGAAACGTGGGGTCAAGATTGGTGGACGATTTATCAACAATCTGCGTTATGCAGATGACACAACCCTGCTTGCTGAAACTGAAGAGGACCTGAAGCGCCTGCTGCAGAGTGTCAAGGACTGCAGCCTCCAATATGGATTGGGCTCAATGTCAAGAAGACAAAGATTCTCACCACTGGACCAATTGGCAGCATCAGGATGGATGGTGAAGAGATTGAGATTGTACACAGCTTTAGTTTGCTTGGCTCCACAGTCAACAGTCTTGGCACCAGCAGCCAGGAAATTAAAAGGCGCATTGCCATGGGAAAGTCTGCTGTTAGGTACCTCTCCAACGTACTGAAGAGCAATGGTGTCTCTCTGGAGACTAAGGTGCATTTGATACAGGCCATGGTCTTCACAATCACTTGTTATGCATCAGAGAGTTGGACAATGACCAAGGAGGATAGAAGGAGAATTGATGCCTTTGAGCTGTGGTGCTGGAGAAGAGTATTGAGAATACCATGGACTGCTAGGAAAACAAACAGATTTGTCCTGGAGAGGGTTAAACCGGGTGGTTCCTTGGAGGCAAGGATTCTGAGGCTCTGTCTAACTTACTTTGGACATGTTGTGAGGAGAGACCGGTCCTTGGAGAGGGACATCATGCTTGGGAGGGTGGAGGGACGGCGCAGGAGAGGAAGGCCCTCTCTGAGGTGGATTGATTCAGTGACTGGGATAATCGGGATGGGCGTCTCAGAGACAGTGCGATTGGCACAGGACAGAGTTTAGGGCTGTTGTACATAGGGTCGCTATGAGTTTCAGGCGACTCAACGGCACATAACAACAACAGCTGTGTTCCCTTGCTCTATTCAGGTAACAGCTACTTCATCTAAATATAGGTTTCGTATGAGCACAATTAAGTGTTCTGTGATCCTCATTCTTCTCAATGTTAGTCAGTTTGTTAAAAACAACAATCAAATGCCTTTGTATAGTCAATTAAACACAAACAAACATTCTTCTGGTATTGTCTCCTTTCCAGAAGGATCCATTTGACATCAGCAATGGTATCTCTGGGCACCTTAGCCTTTTTTCTAAAAAAGGCCTCCTGGCAGTTCTGTCAATGTATTGTTGTAGCTGTTCTTGGATCCAGAAATATTTTGCTTAAATGTGATATTGATGATATTGTTTGATCACTTCCACATTCTTTTGGAGCTAGAAATTATGGGATACAATTATCCATCTTACAGACGTGGCTTCTAAGATTTTTTTCCCCCTCCCCGTCCCCAGTCTGCCCTGGTTAGTTATAGAGCCCTCAATCCGGAATGATTCACTACCCTAAATCAACAGAAGTACAATGGATGGAAGATGCATTGGCTTGAGCCTATTTTGGCTGTTGTTTGCCATCCAGTTGGAACTGACACATAACTGTACAGCGGGTTTTCCGAGGCTTTAAATTCCAAGACAGGTTACTGTTCATCTTTCTGCTGCTGAGCACCAGGTGGGTTTGAACCATGTGCCTTAGGGCTGGTAACACAAGTTATTAATAACTTCTTTGGGATCAATTCCAAGGATATAACAAAACAACTGAAAAGAAAAAGAACAATTTGTCCCGAAACTTAAAGATACTTTATCTTTAATTGTTAATGCTCCAGATGAAAACAATAGCGCATCAGAGAGGTGTAACCCAGTCAGCACCATGGCTTCATTATTTCTTATACAGATCATATACTGAGGTGTTTTTCCCCCCTCCCCTCCCCCGGTCCTGCCCTCCCTGGTCAGTTACAGAGCCCTCAACGCTTTTTCCCCTCGTAGGGTCTGATTAAGGAGAAGCGGACTGCAAGCAGGATCCCAGATGGACAAACTCAATTGTCTTAGAAGCCACTTCTATGAAGTGGATGACCTAACTTCTAGCTCTTCTGCCTCCATTTGACTTCTGTGTCAATCCCCGTCGAAAGTAAAGAGACCTCCTTGTCAAGCAGCCACCAGGTCTTTCATAAACTTCAGCATCTGACTTCACTCACTGCTCTTTGCGAGTCTCAGCGGCCAAGGACAAGGTCTATGCTTACCTCACTCAAATTGGAGAGTTTGGACTTCCGCTAGCACCGCCTCTCGCAGCAGCTCCACCCCTTCCCGCTATGGCCTCACCCTCTCCTCCTCCTACCCTACACTCGCGCGCTGTACCCCCTGGCAGCTGGGACGGAGCGAGGTGCGCATGCGCGCCGAGGGTGGAGCCGCTCCGCGAAGAACCGGAAACTTAAGAGACAAAGTTCGGAGGTGCCCCGCCCCCTGCCCTGCCGTCTGGCCCGCGGAGTCACCAGCCGACCCACCCGCACCGGGACCGATCCTGAAAGGAGAGTCGGCCGCGCTTGCTTTCTCGCCATGTCTGGCTCTTCTAGTGTCGTCGCTATGAAGAAAGTGGTTCAGCAGCTTCGACTGGAAGCTGGGCTCAACCGCGTGAAGGTGTGCGGGGAGCCGGCGGGTGGAGGGGGAGAGGAAGGCGGTGGCGGGTGGGATCCGGGGGCCTTGTTGGCGGGCACTAGCTAGACGCGCCTCTGGCTCTAGTTGCTTCTTGGGGAGAAAGGGCGCTAGGCGGCGGCGACTGGAGTGCACCCAACTTTAGAGAAGTAACTGAGCGGGTTTGCGCAGTGCTTTGGAGGCCAGCTAGCCCGCCCTTCCGCCCCAGGCGGCCTGGGTCCTGGACTGCAGAGCGACTTCCCACATTTTCATTCTCCTCCTTCAGTCCTTCCCTCTTCAGTGACTCCTCGGCTGGCCTTGCCAGTTGTTGTTCTTCGGCTCACAGTCCGCACCCTTCCTCTCTTCTCCACTCTCTTTGGGTTTTTTCCCCCTCCCTACAGAACTGTTTTTGACTTTTGTTTTTCTTCTCATGTCATCTGTTACCCGAACTTAACTCCTTTAAGTAAACAATAGATCCTTAAAAGTTTTTGTTTATCGAACAAGTAAGTTTAACTATGGATTAAAGAAACCAGTTTGTTTTCGAAAAGTCTTGGCTGTCCAAGGTTACCCCGGTGCCCTCCCTGTACGGACCAGTTCTCCACTGTTTGCACCTGTCCGACCCTGGGACTATCTGCTGGCCCGAGCCGAGGTGATGTGGGTTGGACAGTATTGATTCCCCCCCCCCACCTTTGGGGCTTGTTAACCATTGCCCTTTTAAAGGAGTATTTACTTTAAAGGAATCAGTTTTTTTGTTTTTCTTTTTGTACTCCCAAGTATTTCCCCGTTTTAAAATTCTAAATGAGTTCGCTTATTTGTAGTGCGGGAGATCCGTTTACGTGTTAACCCGTGTTTAGAAACAAACAACACAGAAAAGAATATATTCTTGTAAAGAATATAAACCTTGTACCCTTTTGAAACAGCTATATTACCAAGGTGATTGTATCTTTCTCCAAGTCTTAGCAGTCTTAACTTCACTGAAGTGTTTTGTGAAATCAGATCCCCTCTCCTTCACAGGAGGAGGAGCGCTCTTGGCATTGTGGGTGTCAGGACACAGATGTGCAGTCGCCTCAGAGATTTACAGTCTTGGAGACCTGATTGGGTGTTGCTCGGAGTAAGAACCACTCTATGGCTGTGAGCTACACATAAATGTCAGAGACCAGCTTGCTTACCTCAGGAGGGAAGGGAAATTCCGTAAAGTTTGATAATGGGAGTTTTTTTTCCTCCCTGCCTTTCCTTTGAAGTAACAACAGTCCACTCCTATTTGAAATAATTTCTTTGATCCCTAGATTTCGCCCTCATCCCAGTGGTTTACATTTAGGCTTGGCTGGTTTAACTCTGAATTTGAAATCACATACGTGGAGACAGAATTCCATGGGACTGCCCTGTTTTCCCAGCTCTCACCAGGTTTCCTCCTCTCACAGAGTGCAGTCTTTTCTATTGCTCATTTTATGGAAAATGTTTTCATTTTCTTACAGGTTGCCTTACGCGAGCACTGGCTTTCACAGGTTTTACCGTATTTCCTAAAACCATTGCCCTTGAGGTGACTATCTTAAGATCAGAAAAGAAAAAAATATGGGGGGAGTATAACTCCCCACAGAGCTTTCAAATGCTACTTGCAGTATGAGTAAATAGGATTATTAACGTTGTTGTTAAGTGCCATTGAATAACTTATGGTTTCTCCTGATCCTGTGTATAACAGAATGAAAATGAAGAAAATAAGATGACATCCTCTGGCCAAAGTGTGCTGAGGGCTTCACCATACCGCGCCCCCCCCCCAACTGGCCCCTTACTAACTTCACAGCCTAATGTCTACCTTATATACCTAATTCTGAAGATTCTTGTCAGGATCATTTATGCTACACGTGAGTTGGTTTTAGAGTTTAATTCTGGTTGATGAGAGAAGGGCAAGGCAAGACATATTGGGAGCTAAATTAGCTCTTTTTAGATTTAGTGATAAATGTGTTAGGGTCATTTTCAGATTTGTTGTTGGGGTGTGTACTGTTGAGTAGGAACTGGCTCATCCTTCAGCAGATTTGTAGAGGCAATAAACGGCACAGGAGGAGACTGTCCATCTTTCTTCTGAGGAGCAGCTGGTAGATTTGAACCATATGCTTTCATTTTATCCACACCTTTGCTAGATGCTTTTCTATGATAACGTATTTCTGTTTATTTTCCCCTTTAGTGGTCTAATTTCTCTGTTACCTATTTCCTACTCTTTACAGCCTTCTCCTTCCCTAGGAACCACCCAAAAATAATTCTATGTGTAAACTTTTCCTTAGATAATACATATTTTTAAACTAACACACGTTTACTGTATTTACCATTTATGTCTGTATACCAAAAAACCCAAACTTAATTGAGTATTGTGACCCATAGCAAGCTTTCATTGAATTTTCTGAGGTGATAAATCTTTAGAGGACCTCATTTTTATCCCATGTTCAGACTGGTAGAGTTGAACCGTCCACCTTTTGGCCATCAGCCCCACTGCTTTACACAATGTGTTGTCAAGGTTCACTTAAGTATAAAATGATAGGAATTCGTAATACAAAGTTTCTGGCAAACTCTCCCATAGTAGGGTAACAATCTGCACATATCAGGATGTTTTGGTGAATTTGAAAGGGTCTCACACTTGTTGAGACATTACTGCACTGCCTTGGGAACTTGTCACTTGTTCTAGCTTTAGAGCCTTTGTTTCAGCTCCCCTCACTGCTTAAAAAACTGTTTCTGATGGGGAAACTTGGCTGAATCTGTTACTGCAGTCTCTGTTTAAATGTCACCTCCTCAGAGAGTCCTTACTTTAGGTAGGGGTCATCGAGTCATCATCTTACAAATACACTTTTTATCTGCTGACCACTTTATCTGCCTTGTCTCTTGGACAGCTTCATATTCTCAGTGCCTAGAAATAAATTTGGCATATAGCAGTGCTTGGAGCTCTGGTAGCCTAGTGGCAAGAAGTTGGCTCTGCAATCCTGAAGGCACGTGGCAGTGTTCCATGTGATTAACTGCCTCTGAAAACCTGCAGCTCTGGGTGGGTTCTGACTGGACAGTACTCAACCATAGCAACAACAACAGTGTTTGAGAAGTTTGTGAAAGGAAGAAAATTAAGTTAGGGCCTGTCTACATTTTAGATAAAAAATTGACACTTTTTACTCTTAACTTAGGGATGCTTAAGGTAAATGCAGCCAAGCAGTATAACATAGTGAAAATGGTAACTCTGAAAAAAAAGAAAATGGTAACTCTGATTCTTTTCCTATAAACCGAAAAAATCAAACCCACTGTTGGAATTGGTTCTAACTCCAAGACCCCGTAGGATAGAGTAGAACTGCCCTATGGTACTTTTAAGGCTGCGATTTTTATAAAGTAAGATTGCCATATCTTTTCTTCTGAGGAGTTACTGGTGGGTAACTTCTTTGACCTTTCAGTTAGCTGCCAGATACTTCTATACCACAAGGGCACTTTCTCTCCCTTTTCTTACACATTTTCTTTGGATAAGAGTGGCAACTATTTGTTGACATTCTTTATACAAGAGTGAATAAACCTCTATACTGTTAAAGAGTCTGTAGGGCTTCTTGCTACAGAGGACATCTTAATGCTGTTAAAACTCCTTTTAAGAGCCACATACTCAGCTGGAGTGCTTATCTGCCCCAAGTCTCTTTGGTAATAGTTAAAACTTCAAGAAATAAATAGTTCTCATTTCATCCATCCTCCTAAACCTCTTAATTCATGACAGGATATGTCTTTTAAAGTAGCACATTAGATGTATGGTTTTACATCTTAACTATTTTTATAAAAGTGTACCATCAACTGTTTAATATTAAGAAACTTTACAATGACAGGTTTCTGCTCATTGTCATGTAAGTCAAGGACTAATACAGCATGCAATAATTTGCCAACTTTATTAAACAGCATTCCTGCCTTTTTAGGAGCAGTGTATTTGCTGTAAAGGTGATTTAGCAGGTTTGTTTGGTTGGTTTTTTTTTTTTTTTTGGTGGGGTGTGAAAATTTGTATTTAGAATTAGCCAGCTGGACTTAGTCTAGAACAAGTTGACCATGGTGGCTGCATCAATGTTACAGAGCTTTACAGCTTGTTTGATCCTTGTTGGCCATGACATCCCATTGAATATAAGTGAGTTATCTTCTTCATAGCTGACTCAGTGGTCCGGGGAAACCTGATGATGGTATAATAGTCAAGCTTGTTTCTCCTTGGGGTGTTTTCTCGGGAGTATTTGGGCTGCATTGAGAATCTTGGCCTAGATGCTGCCGAAAGGTGGGTGAAGTACAGCTCTTCTTTTTGTGGCTGTGGATGCCCTTCCCACTCTTTGGTACCATATTCTGATGGCATAGAAAGTCTGATTTAGCTATTTTCATATATACATACAGCATGCCACCCAAGCCAGGGAAAGAAAAAAAAATACAGTGTAGGCTGTAATGGGGGTGATGACATCTGACTTCCACTAACTTAATAAGAGGGAGGAAGCTTCAAAACTGAGTCTTGTGAATTTAGGCATGTCTTCATCATCTTCAGTCTTTTTCATTTTGAACACTAGTCTGTTTTACAGCTCTCTGCCCTACTACATTGTCTCCCCCACCCCCTCCAGGCCATACCGTGCCACTTGGCTTTGGCTATAGTTCAGTGGGGCAGCAGCAAATCCATTTTAGCATTGTTGTGCAGGTCTCCAGTTCTCTGCCATCTTTGCCTCATTCCATCTGGCATAGGAATCTCTGGCCCAGAGGACAAGCTAAACTCACTGCTGCTAGTAATGAAATTCTCCTTCTGCCTCCAAACCTGCTCAAGTTTGCCTCACAGGATGGCAAAACTGTCTAATCTCCTAAGTGGTCTATACACCTCCTTATATGTTCCTACCTGGAAGGCATAATTTACCAACGAAGCTGTCCAGTCCCCTTGGTAGGGCACAGGAGTGGCATCCAATTCCTAAACAACATACCTCTGTTAACACTTACGAACTTTTGAGAAATGATAGTTACTGAAAAGGCTTCAGGTCTTTTGTTCATAGGGTTGCTATCAGTTGTGCGGGACTCAATGACAATCAACCCAAGTATATGGAGAAATTCAAAGCCAAAGGCTAGAAAAGCTATATTGAATAACTTATCACAAAGACTTGTGAAACTTTGACATATTTATATTTTGTGTACTTTCTGTTATCACTTGAACAGAATACACCTACTTCTCACTTATTGACCTGATACTCTTTCAAACAGGTCATTATACAAAATTGGTACTATGCAAGGAGCACGATGTGGAGAGGGCCTCAGCCCAGACCCTTAGAACTGCTGCACCCCTGCATTGACCCTTAAGGCCTTGCCATTGGGGCTGACAGTGAAGTGAATCTGGTTCCTTGTAACTGGATTAGTTGTAGTTGGCTGCTCTGAGGCCCAAGCAACCATTAGGGCTGTGGATCAGGATGGTTTCTGAGGGGTTGCGGCCTGTACCCTTTGCAGCTGCCTCCTCTATAGTCCCAGCCACCTGTAGGCTGAACAGGACTCCACAGAAGTGATGTCTTAGAGGACATGGAACCTGATGCTTAGAGAGACCAACAGCTGCTTAGCAGTCTGAGCTTTGGAGAAGGGTCTCGCCAGCTTTTGCTGCAGTCCCCAAATCTGGAATTATGCCTGGTACCCTCTTCACTGCAGGATTTGGTTCTGTGGGGGCACTTCAGCAATAGGGAGCAGCAGCAGAAATTTCCCACCTCCTTTGGAACCACTCAGGACATTTGCCCCCCAAATCTGCCCCAGTTGCCTCTTTTGCATGAAGAGCTGCTGTCGTCAGTTATGAGATTGGCAAAAGGTCTTCTGGAGAATTGGCTCCTTTTAGCTGTGTGTGAGCATTACAGACATGAGAACTGTAGACTTTTTACTGATGTCATAAATTTTATACTTTTATAACAGTAAGTTTTTTTACTGTGATCATAATGGTGAGTAGGTGCCTATTCTTATCAATTCAATTACCTAATTAGTATTTCACATTTGTTACAACTTTGTAAAAATTATCAGATGTTGCCTTGACTGGATCCAGGGTGTCCTTTTCAGGTCACTCTCAATGGTATGTCAGAGGTCCTGATGATGACTGGTCACAGGACACCTCCTGTTTGCCTGCAACATCTTGGTCAAGAAGGCACTAGTGGGCTGTGTATGAGGTTGCAGGGGCAGCAAGAGGCTGGTGAGGGGCCAGAAGTGTTAGGAGGTCAGTGGGGAGAGAACAAAAGAGAAGTGATATTTATTGCAGATCTTTGGAAAGATTCAGAAGTTATTACAACATTTTTACCACATGTTAACACCTTTTCTTTCATTATTTGCAGGTTTCCCAGGCAGCTGCAGATTTGAAACAATTCTGTCTGCAGAATGCTCAACATGACCCCTTGCTGACTGGAGTATCTTCAAGTACAAATCCTTTTAGACCCCAGAAAGTCTGTTCATTTTTGTAGTAAAATGAATCTTCCAAAGGTGAGGTTTGCTAATTAAAAACAAAACTTCACAAAATAGAAGTACTTAATGATCTTTTTCTTTGAAGTTGTTTACAGAATTGACAGATCATCTTGTTTTGATTTGACACTCTCCCAGTCTGTCATAGGGAAAATGAGGCTTGAGGAACTAGCTGGTTTTCAGTAGTTGTGAAACCTGTCAGAACTCAATGGGCCTGTTGTTTGAGGCCTTCCAAATATTCCACAGTGGCAATGTAGTCCATCGTTTCTTTTAATGGAAAATGTTTCCTTCTCTGACAGGTTTCTTCTACTTTATACCACTTCCAGTTCTGCAGGGTTTACGATACTGTCATATGATAAAGATTAAGTCTGATAGTGATTTGAAAGAACCCAACTGTGGGGCAGTAACAAAGAACTAACTGGGAGTCCTGAATGAAAGGAAAGGTTAGGAGGCACCTAAATAAGCTGACAGTGTGGGCATTTATTTGGAGTGGTTATTAAGTGTGACTACCTTCTAGATTTGATCAAATGTCACATGTCAAAATTATAGTTGTATAAAAATAGATCTGACTAAAATAGTGCTTTAGATAATTTAAAATTGAAGGGGGCTACCATCTTCTAAATCCTTCCTACTTTTAATCAAGAGAATACTCACTAGTCTGTAAGAAATAACCTTCATCTAGTGCTTTAAGAAAGGGATGGAGGATTATATGGCACATACCTCTCCCAACATTCTGACTTCTCAAAGTCCAGGAAGCTGCTTCCTAAAATACCAGTTACATAGTTGTGCCCTCCCTAATTAAGCTTTGTAAATTTGGGAGTGTGCAGGAACTCTAAGTATGTTTCCAGTACATACAATGATTGACGTTGATTAAGGTTTGAAACTCCAGAAAAAAGCAGCTTTGAGTATGAATTCACCATAAAAAACCCATTTTTAATGGTCTGTTATATACTGTTGAGTCAGAATGGACTAATAGATGGAACTTTTAACCAGTTTTCAAAGGTAGTAAATCACATAGGAGACTGCCCATCTAACAGCTTTATACTGAACATTTTAGTATTTCCTTGCTTCTTGTAATAATAATAATGTACCTCTTAATGGTGTTTTTAGAATATGCATATGTTTACATAGTAAAGATTCCTTTTTTAACCTGTTTTCTGTTGTTTTCATTTTTAAAGGTGGTTTGATTTTATTTAATACAAGGTTTAGTTTGGAACTATTAATTTCATTTCACAGGAAATGTAGAGATGATTTAAAAATAGCTCTCTCGAGGTTATAACTATGTATGGCTCTATACCCAAATTTCAAAGTAAACTGATGGCTACTAATCCCAATAATAGTTAAGTTTTATGCAGAGGTATATTACAATTTATAGTTGTAGGGAAGATCATATAAGAAAACAGTGCTACTCAATTTTAATATCAGATTACTTTATAAAATACAGATTTCCATTTTTCTAACAAGTTCCCATATTATACTGTTAGTTCTTGTTTAGAGTAGAGAATTTCACTTACATGCCTGTACTCATAATTTTTAAAGGTAGTTTAAAATTAACAACTAAATTTAGCAACTAGAAATCAAGGGGAAAACAGAAAATCATGTTATTTCATCCTCCGTAACTATTAACAGATTAATTTCCTTTAAAATGGAATTTTAGAAACATTGTAGTTTTTCAAGCTAGTTTTAAAAACTTATTTTCCTGTTTCATTAAATATTATTTATAAACAAGATTTTTCAGTAGTACTATATAATACTTCACATTTTATGTTTCCAAAGTTAAAACTGTCCTATCATGAACATTCTGGAACCTGCTATTTTGTGCCTCATCTTTTTTAAATAAAACTAATCATAAAGGGCATTTAAAACTAATAAAACCCTTGAGATCTACTGTCAAAATTATACTTTGCTCCTCTATTAGTATTTGCTATTACTTTCTGCCTGTCTTACTATAATATGCAGATTAGCCTGATCTTAAGTGAGGCCAGTAAGCATTTTTCATGTTTTTCCTGCCTCCACTATTATTGGGAAAGTTTTCAATTTTCCAGTAGGTGTAAAAATGAATCATACATGTACCATCCTAAATTAATGTTTTGTTCCTATTTTTTAAAGAGTAGTAAAACAATGAAAATAACTCTTAACAGTAACCACCTTTCCCTAAAGATAACTTATCCTGAAGATGGTAGCCTGTATTTCTATTACATATTTTTTTTTGCATAGTTTTAAAACATGATTGTTTTTCAGACACAACTACTATTGGTTTGGCTTTTCTGAGATTTTAGGTTGCCATTGGTCCCGGTAGATAATTCAGTCATTTTGATTGCTTCTATCCTTTATACCAGTTGCACTTCAGTAAACTGGAACTCATTGTGACATCGCTTCCCCAACTGAGTTACATTTCCACTGTTTCCAGTTTATTGCAGTCAGTATCCTAACACATTTCCCTTTGTGTGTATGTTTATCTTAAGTAGAATTGTAGTTGAATCTTTCACTTTACTAGATATTGCAAAACTGCTCTCCTAAGTATTCTAGGGATAGCCATATTTTTTATATTAAATATAGTAGTTTTTAAATTATAATGCAGTATATTCTGAATACTTTTGGCAAATAAAAAGTCTTTAAAACAGGAGTGATACATACCTCTGAGAAGTTTGGAAAATTAAGTTTATATTTGGCTGCCTACTAGGAGTTAGGCATTTTATACATGCAATTTCTCATTAGGAAAATAAGCTCAATTTAATTAGAAGCACTTTATAAATGGGCACTGTTATTCAGAAAAAGAAGCAAAGGATATGAGCAAATAAAAAATAAGACATAAACAATGATTTAATTAACATTATTTTTTAAAAATTAACTATTTTTTGCAGTTTCAGCCTAATTTCCCTTTTCTTTCCATTTCAGGTTTCCTAAACCACTCTTAAGAACCAGTGAATATTCAAAGGAGAGCTAAAATATGAAACTTGTACAAAAGCTTATCCCTACAACATATGTGCCATACTCTACAGATTTCTACTTTTGTCAGTTCTTAACATCTACCTCTCTGAATTTTCATGAGTTTCTATTTCACAAGGGTAGTAATTATTTTATATACACTGGTAGCTGCATATAATAAAGTCCTTGGTATAAAAACTGATTTCTTAAATGTATAGTCATCAGTTTCAAAAAATGGTAATATAAAAGGAGGGAGGGGCATGACTTCATCTGACCACCTTCCACTAATTTCACAAGAAGGAACAAATCCCCTTCTACACCATTAAGAGTACAGAACAGATTCCTATGAGGTCACAGATGCCGCTCAAGTTCCCACCCTACTACCAATTCTAATACCAATTTCCCCTTCCTAAACTGTCAGTGCTTTACTCTTGGGTCTTTAATCCCTTGCAGTGGCCACAAAGATGGCACAAAACAGGGTTATGGAGTTTAATAGGGAAACTAACAGGTTACCATTCAAGCTTTCATTAGCTTGACAGCAGAATACAATCTCTTAGTGTGGCTGCAGTTCCTCTGACCTTCAGTGTCTGCTTAGGTCGGTATTACAAAGTTCCCTTAGTCTTGCCAGTTACGGTGTCTAACTTTAGTTCCATTGGGGCATTTAGTTCCCAAGTCAGCTCTCTCTCATACTGGTCTCTGATTCTTTGTTGAGGCTCCTGTTCTTAAGTAGAGCCCAGTCTGGCTGGCATAGGAAATCTCTAGCACTGAAGGATTCACACTATTTCCTCTTCCTTATTAGTGCTGAGATTCCCAATTTGTCACTGGATCTGCTCAATTTAAAGCTAGTGAGATGGTGAAACTAGCCATTCCCTTTGTGTATAACATGAACACATCCTATCTGTATGATTCTGCTCATTCATGTGGCAAAGTGAAAGTCAATGGCTAAGGAATCCATTTTAAAGAATAACTGATGCCCCTATAATTAGTAAAAAATTCAAAGATTTCTTAAGACAAAAAAAAAAAATCACACTAGACAATACCTGAATAGAGTACTATGTACAGTAAAAAGAGGTATAAAGTGGCAAGAAAAAAAGACTCGAAGATCATCAGTAGGTTTGGTAACTTGGTAAATCATTTTCCTTGAAAGAATTCTTCCTTATAAAAGGACTGCTGCTGTGTATCAGAATCAGATACACCCATAGCTGACCTCCTGCAGGTTTTCAGAGGCAGTAAATCGCACAATATTAAAACATCCCAAGCTCCTATATTAATGAAACACTGGGATCTAAACTTAGTCTAGTGTTGAACTAGTGGGCTAAAGGTGTCTACCAAGGATTTTAGTTCTGTACAGCCCACTTAACCCTTGACAGTGCAAACAGGAACATACGGCTTTTGATTCCAACTTAATTAAAATTACCTTGAAAATAAGTTTTCAGAAACCTAAGCTGTAACTTCTCAGAAACGTTCATCTGAAATATTTATACTTGCTGTATACAAACTGGGAATTCAGGGTATTTTTAATTTTTCCAGAAAGTAAATTTATGAAATCAAGAAATGCCCATTTGAAAAGGGTTTCTTCAGAAGTAATTTACCAAGGTGAAGACAGCCCTGGTTCAGCAAAATCCAGTATTAAGCTACTTTACAAATGGAATTTTCTTCTACTTGTATCCATTTCCCGGGGCTGGAAAAAAAAAAAAAAGAAAATGAGTAAGAAAACATGAAATTCAACTTTATATTTTAAATCTAGAGTCCTAAAATAATTTGGTTTGTGATATCAAAAGAGTCTTAGGCCTAACATAGGAATTGGAAGTTCTAGTTGCATATGTGTATAGTTTTGGTTTTTTAAATACAAAATTATACTGGTTTGCTTACAAAGTTCATATACATTGTTTTTCACATCAGATCTTTCCCACTTCCATATCTCTCCTTCCCCCCCTCTAGAGCCTCATATACATTTTACTAGTTATTTCTACAATAATGGTCTCACACAGTATTTGTCCTTATGGTAAGGAGTTAGTTCACACAACATAATGCTCTCCAGTCCCTTCTAAGTTAGGTAGTTTACAAAACCGTTGTTCTGTGTGCTGTGTAGTATTTCATCATGTTAATATACCATAATTTCTCAGTCCATTCGATTTGGGCTGTTTCCATATTGTGTATATAGTTTTTAAAGTGTTATGTGCTGTAATGTACCACTGAACTGAGTATGATTCTCGGTGACCCTCCGGACAACAAATGTGAACCCTGTCTTCTTGTGCCTCCATCATTTCATCTGACACACTTGAGCCCATTGGCTGCAGTCACTGTGAGAATCCATCTCATTGAGGGTCTTCCTCTCTTTAGCTGACCCTCCACTTTTCTAAGCATGATGTGTCTTTCCAAGGAATAAAATGCCTTTTTCAACAACAGGCATTAAATATGAGACAAAACTTTGCCATCTTTGCTTCCAAGAAGCATTCTGGCAGAACTTATTTCAAGGCAAATCTTTTCTTTTGGCAGTCCATAAAATATTCAGTACTCTCCTCCAGCACACAACTCAAAGGCATTAATAATATCTCAGATGCACAGCAAATGGCAGAAGACCATGGCCTGAATTAGGCACATATTAATCTTCAAACTAACATCACTGTTCCTCATTATTTTGGGGAGGTCCCTGACAGCAGACTTTCCCAATACATCTCTTGATCTCCTGACTGTTGGTACCAAGGGTGATGATTGTGGATCCAAGGAAGATGAAACTGCTGACAATTTCAATTGTCTCCATCTATGACGATGTTGCTTCCTGGTCTGATGGTGAGGATTTTTGTCTTCTTGATGTTGAGATGTAATCCATACTGAAGGCTGTATCTTCTGTAGCAAGTGTTTCAAGTCTTTCAGCAAGCAAAGCTTAATGCAGGATGTTTGAATCTTCCTCACTAATACAGTTCTGAAATGATTTTATTTTATATGGTGGTGGCGGTGGTTTTGTGCCATTGAGTTGCTTGCAACTTACTGTGACCCTATGTACAATAGCCCTAACCTCTGCTTTGTCCTGTGCCAATCGCACTGTCTCTGATAACACCTATCCCGATTACCCCAGTCACTGAATCAATCCACCTCATTGAGGGTCTTCACCTCCTGTGCTGTCCCTCCAACCTCCTAAGCATGATGTCCCTCTCCAAGGATCAGTTCCTCCTTACAACATGTCCAAAGTATGTCAGACAAAGCCTCAGAATACTTGCCTCCAAGGAGCAGCCTGGCTTCACTCTCTCCAGGACGAACCTGTTTGTTCCCCTTGCAGTCCATGGCACCCTCAAAACTCTTCTCCAGCCCCACAGCTCAAAGGCATCCTTTCTCTTTCTATCCTCTCTAGTCATTGTCTCTCTGACACATAACAAGTAACTGCAAAGACCATGGCCTGTATCAGATGCACCTTAGTCTCCAGAATGACACTGTTGCTCTTCAGTACTTTGGAGAGATCCTTAATAGCAGACTTTCCCATCACATCTTTTAATTTCCTGGCTGCTGGCGCCCAGAATGTTGACCATGGAGCAAAGCAAACTAAAGCTGTGAACAATCTCAGTGTCTTCACCATCCATCATGATGCTGCCACTCGGTCCAGTGGTGAGAATCTTTGTATTCTTGACATTGAGCCTCAATCCACATTGAAGGCTGCAGTCCTTGACCCTCTGCAGCAAGTGCTTCAGGTCTCAGTTTCAGCAAGCAGGATGGTGTCATCTGTATAACTCAGATTGTTGATCAATCTATCTCCAATCCTGATGCCACATTTCTCCTCATAGAGCCCAGCCTCCCGGATAATCTGTTCTGCATATCGGTTGAAAAGGTTTGGAGACGACAAATCCCTGACATAAGTCCTTCCCAATTTTGAACCATGCAGTATTTTTCCTTGCTTTATTTTGATGACTGCCTCTTGGTCAAGTATAGGTTTCGCATTAACACAATCAAGTGTTCTGGGATTCCCATTCTTCTCAGAGTCAGCCACAGTTTGTTCCGATCCACACAGGCAAACGCCTTTGCATAATCAATGAAACACAGGTTACAATGAAACACAGGTTAATACCTGACAGCCTTCTGGTATTCCCTGCTTTCAGCTAAGATCCATCTAACATTAATTACAAAATCGCTAGTACAAAGACTCCTCCTAAACCCAGCCTGGACTTCGGACAGTTCTCTGCTGATGTGCTGTTCCAGTCGTTTTTGGATAATCCTCAGTAGAATCTTGCTTGCATGTGAAATCAATTATATTGTTCTATAGTTTCCACACTCTGTTGGGTCACCCTTCTTTGGAATGGGAACAAATATAGATCTCTTCCAGTCAGTTGGCCAAGTGGTTGAGGGCAGAAAGAAGTCTTCACAGGTTGAGAAGAAAGGACAGCACAATGTACCTTGAAAATCCCAGTTCCCCCCTCCCCCCCAGGTAATGTGAAGACCCCAAGACTGCGTGGGAATCATTCACGGGATGCATAGAGAGGGCAGAAAGAGATCTTGGTGGGCGGAGAAGCAGGACAACACAATGGGCACTGAAAATCCTCGGCCACCCCACAGGCAAACGTGAAGACCCCAAGGCTGCACACCAGTTCTAAAGGACACATCACCTTCGCTCGGGAAACATTACCACTAAACAGGCACTGGTCACACAGCATAAGAAACTGTTAGCAGCTGATGTGATTGGAATCACAGAAGTCAAGGAAGCTTCAGATATAAGCTATCAAATCAATGGTATTTTATATGGTACCTTTTTATTTTATAGGAGACAGGGAGGATTGACTTCCTAAATCCATCTCCCTGAAATATATTTTCATTCATGGTTTAAGATTATGACTCTCAAACTTGACAAAACATCCATGGCTAAGTTTGTTATGCGCCATTATGTTGATGACTACTCATAGCAACCTTATAAGTAATGGATCTGTATCTTGCCCTTCCCTGTACCGTTCTCATCTCTGATATGTGCTCAAGCTCACTGTTACAGTCACTGTGTGGGTCTTCCTCTCTATTACTGACCATCGACCCTTCCCAGCTTGATGGCTTTTTTCAATGACTTGCCCCTCTTAACATCCTAAAGTATGTGAGACTGACTTTACCATTCTTGCCTCTAAGAAGTACCCTGGTTGCACTTTCTCCAATAGACACACCTTGTTCTTTTGGTATTCCTTAAGATATTCAGTACTCTTCTCCAGCAGAACCACTCAAAGGTACCAGTTCTGCCATCCTTTCACTGTCCATTTTTCAGATGCATAACAAGTAACTGAAAAGATCATAGCTTGCATAAGGTACACCTTAGTCTTTAAACTGACCTTTTTTTTTTTCTACTTTAAAGATCTTTAATGTAACAAGAGTGAGGGAAGTGCTGCCCCCGCTCCGCTGGGCAATGATCACGCCCTGCTGACATTTCTGCTCATTAATACCTGGAGAGGTCCTCACAGCAGAGTTACCCAATGCAACACATCTTTTGATTTCTTGAAAGCTGATAACATGAGTATTGATTGTGGATCAAAGCAAGATGAAATCACTGACAACTTCAATCTTTTCTCCATCTATCATGTTGTTGGCTATTGGTCCAGTGACGAGGATTTCTGTCTCCTTGATGTCAGATGTAATCCATGTTGTAGGCTTTTGTCTTAGATCTTTGCAGCAAGATTTCCAAGTCATTTGCTTAATGCAGATTGTTCATAGACTTCCTCCAATTTTGGTACCTCATTGTTCTTCACATAGTTTCTCAAATGATTTGCTCAGCATACAAAGTGAATATGTATGACACAGTTTTCTAAATTTTAAACCATGCAGTGTTTCCCTGCTGTTTGGACAGTAGCTTCTTGGTCTAGGCATAGATTTTGCATGAGCACAATTAAGTGTTCTAGGCTTCTCATTCTTCTCAATATTAGCAGTAATTTGCCACACAGCCTTTACATGGTCAATAACGCAAATAGACATCCTTCTTGTATACTTTACTTTCAACTAAGATCCATGTGGCATCGGTAATGATATCCCTGGTGTCAAAGTCTCTTCTAAATCTATGAATTTCTGGCAGCTTTCTGCTGATGTACTAGTTATTTTTTAGATAATCTTCATTAAGATTTTACTTGCACGTATTAGTGATATCTGATCATTTCCAAAATCTGCTAAATGGGAACAAATATGGATCTCATCCAGTCAGTTAGCTAGGTGGTCTTCTTCCAAATTTCTTGACACAGACTAACGAGCACTTCCAGGGCTGCATCTGTTTGCTGAAACATGTCAACTGGAATTCCACCAATTCCTGAGGCTTTATTTTTTGCCAATGCCTTCAGTGCAGCTTTAACAACTTATTTACCATTGATTCTTGTTCATAAGCTACTTCCTGAAACGGTTCCATGTCAATTCTTCCTGGATTTGTCAAGATTTTGCCTATGGCCTCCTTCAGCATTGTATCTTGAGGGCTGAATTTGTTCTTTCAGCTTGAGAAATGTCAAGCACGTTCTTCCCATTTTATTTTCTAACTCCATCTCTTTGAACATTTCTTTATACCATAGCTACTGCTGTTAGGTGCTGTCAAGTCCAGCAACCCTAGTAACAAAAGAACTGAATCCTCTCCTATCCTGTGCCATCCTCATCATTGCCAACATAAGAGCCCACTGCTACAGTCTGTCAATCCATCTCATTCAGAGTATTCCCCTCTACCACTGACCTTCTACCTTTATAAGCATTATGTCTCCTTTCCAGGGAATATCCCTTCCTAAAAAATGCCAAAAGTAAATGAGATGAAGCTTCACCATACTTGTCTCTAAGGAGCAATCTTGCTAAACTTTCTCCAAGACAGATCTGTTTGTTCTTTTCACCTTCAGTACTCTTCTCCAAAAGAACTCAAAGACATCAATTCACTGCCATCCTTATGCACTGTCAATCTCTTAGATATATGACTATAAGACCATGGCCTGAATCAAGCACACCTTGGTTTTAAACTGAAATCACTGCACCTCAGCACTTTGGGTGGGTTTGAACCACCAAGCTTTCAGCTGATAATCAAGCCCTTACCTGTTTGTGCTACCAACATTAATCTTCAGACCCAAATACCAAATCAGAGATTGTTTCTATCTAGCTGCAAAAAACAAGCCCAGTACTGTGTAGCTGATTTTTAGTCACAGTGACCCTTCATTAGGTGGTTGAGACTAAATCTTTGGAAGAGCCTGCATTTTTCGTCCACAGAATGGCTAGTGTATTCAGACCACCAACTCTGGTGAGCAGCACACCACATTAAACACTACACTACCATGGTTCCTCTCTAGCTCAAATTAGATTTGAACTTGCTGCTACTGAGTCCATTCCAACTCATAAGCAATCTTGGAGACTGCCTATCTTCTGTGAAACTGAGCTGGTGGATTCAAACCAGAGATGTGCTGCCTTTCGGTTAGAAGTGCACTTTACTAGAGACTACACCACTAGAGCTAATGGGGAATAAAGGATCAAATATACAGGCAGTCCTTAGGTTACTAATGAGATCTTTTCCCAAGTGTGCCTTTATACACTTTTTTGGAGTTAGTTGGGACAGGTGTATATGATTTTTATTTACTCTTAACACTTTAGTGAAAGAGGAGGCTTAATTTTTAATTTGGAAGCTGTACAAAAAGTGATTATGTATTTGGACTTGTTTGGTTGGTTCAAAACACTTAAAATAAGAGCATATTTTCATACTATTAAAGCAGGGTTTCAAAGATGGCAGTTCAGAAATGACAGCCAACCACTCAGATTTAATTTTATTTGGCCCTCCATAGTTAAGCTTAGTAACCCAGTCACATATACCAGGCTCATGAAAGACCTCATAGCACCTTTTCTCAATCTCCCGTTCCTGGCCTTTGACCTGTAATTTCTTTCTGTGATGGTTATATAACAAATCACCCAATTGTAAAAAAATTCTATTCCTATTTCACTTTGTTGGCTGTGACAGAAGTGACTGGAAGTGCTGCACTAAAAAGGGTAAGTAGGATGGCTATAACCTAGGAACTACCTGTAGAACTTAAGGTAAATACCAAGTGTTAATGCACATAGTTATTTTAAAAGACTTCCTGATAAATTTTAAGACGTTAACCACATACCTTATGTACCCATTCATACTCTCCATACTTAGAATCAAACGTTCCTTTTTGAAGAGATCTTAATTTTAAGGTAAAGCGTGGTCCAAGCTCCTGAATTCCCACTTTTTTTTCACTTCTGAATATGTATCTTCAAAGAAAAAGAAAATTTAAGGACTCAGGAAAATAGCTGGATGTATTCACATTTCTTTTCCCCATCTAGAATATTTGTTATATTATCAAACAGATTCATGTTCAAAATGTTCTTCATGATTAAACTCAGTCCTGAGAGTTAAAACACATTCCTTACCTGTGAAATCTGAAGAAAATAAAATCCCGTTGATTATGGAATGTGGCAACCTGCCTTCCAATGAACTGAGGGTCATGAGGAAAGAGAGATGCAAACATACGTCCAATGGAATGACCAAGCCGAGTTGTAAAATTATTCAAAATTATTTCAGGTTTGTGTTCTGTGGGGTCCTTGCCTCTTCGCTAAGAAAAGAGAAACATTATAAATTAAGCTAGCTGGCAACACCACCATATCCCCCTCCAATTTCAAGTATCAGATTCTTTACAATTATATGAAAAACTGAAAGTTTAATCAACTATCACAAAAAGCTTACCAAATTTAAAAAATACAATTAACATCTAAGCTGTTATTAGTAAATGTGCTGTAAAGAAACTACTAGGAAATCAGTATTTTGTAGCAATGAAAGATAATGCCTGTTTGCTTTAACTCAGTCAGTTTCTACGTAAGTGAAATTCTGGTAAGTCAGTCAATACCAATCAAAGAATGTATGAAACTTACCTTTATTTCCTTACGTAGACGAACACTGCTCATTTTAAAATGAGCTGTTGGACCATGTGGCAAGTGACTCAAAATAATTCCATCTGTTCATAAAGTTAAGAACATAATGAAATGCTGTAACCTAAATCTTAAATTATTTCAATAACTAGTCCTTGTATGACCTCAAATCAAACCAAACCAATTGCTATTCAATTATTTCTGACTGTTGGCAACCTAACAATGTGTATCAAATCCTAATAATCCACAGAATTTCAATGGCTGATTTTTAAGTAGATCACTAGGCCTTTTATCTACCGCACTGCTGAGTGAACTGGAAACGCCAACCAAAATAACTATCAGGTTAATTCTGACTTAAAACTGCCCCATAAGGTCCTTAATGCGAAGCAGACTGCTCATTTTTCTCCTATGGATTGGCTGGTGGATTTGAACCAATTCTTCAGTTAACAGCCCAATGTTTTATCAACTGGCCCACCAAGGCTCCCTTGTAGGCTCAAAAAGCCCTAAAATCTGCAGCTCCTGGGTTGTTAATGGGTGGGGGAATGTATTCCTCTGAGTTTATGAAAAATTTCCTACCACCTCAAAAATGTAAATCATGCAAGTCAGCCTAAATCTTAAAAAAAGAAAAAAAAAAAAAGAGTAACCTATAATATCTGCCTTTTTCACAAAATGGTAAACTACTTGGCATCATCAGTGTACTATATTAGACATTCAACTAAAGTAGAAAAAAATTAATGTTGCCTACCATTCTTGAAGGGAGCTCTGGTAGTGTAATGGTAAGGAGCTAGGCTGCCAACCCAAAGGCAGGCACACAATTGAAAGACACTAGCCGCTCCACAGGAGAAAGATAGGCAATCTCCCCCCATGTGATTTACTGCCCCTGAAAACCTGCTGGAGGGTTAGCTATGGATTGGTTTTGACTTGAGAGTACATAACAACTATTCTTGCAAAAGTATGAAAGCAAGGTTGTAGAATAGTCCTGTAATGCACATATTTTACCTTTATGTTCAAAACACTAAAGATACATGACTTTATATGTTTTATATAGTTAGGATACTCTGTCAGCACTGAGTAATTTTCCCTTAGGACCAAGACTCTTGTCTAAGTTCTCTCCTGAAAGTCAAAGTTCTTAATGTTTCTCAAGAGACAACCTTTTCCTCTTGGGACTATAGTACCACAAATTAGAATTAATCAATGAGTAACTACATACTATCCACAGAGAATTATGCTAAACTAAAAATTTAATATATTTACCTATAACCAGCAAGGTTAAGAGCCTAAGGAGTTTATTTCACAGATCTCGAAAAGGATGAGACCTTAAATGGCAGCCAGAATCAAGGTTGTTTAAAATATGTATCTATATGAGTTTTAAAAAGCAAACATTATCTTATTTCTTTATAATAATATCAATGCATCTGTTAATCCAGATTGTTGTTGTTGTTATGTGCCATAGAGTCGTTTGCGACTCATAGCGACCCTATGCACAACAGCCCTAAACCCTGCTCTATCCTGCGCCAACCGCACTGCCTCTGACACACCCATCCCGATTACCCCAGTCACCGAGTCAATCCATCTCATAGAGGGTCTTCCCCTCCTGCGCCGTCCCTCCACCCCCTCAAGCATGATGTCCCTCTCCAAGGACTCGTCCCTCCTGGCAACATGTCCAAAGTATGCCAGACGAAGCCCCAGAATCCTTGCCTCCAAGGAGTTTCTTGGTTTAATCCTCTCCAAGATGAATCTGTTTGTTTTCCTGGCAGTCCATGGTACATTCAGTACTCTTCTCCAGCACCACAGCTCAAAAGCATCAACTCTCCTTCTATCATCCCTAGGCATTGTCCAACTCTCTGATGCATAACAAGCGATTGCAAATACCATGGCCTGTATCAGGCGCACCTTAGTCTCCAGAGAGACACTGTTGCTCCTGAGTACTTTAGAGAGGTCCCTAACAGCAGACTTTCCCATCGCGATACGCTTTTTGATTTCCTGACTGCTAGTGCCAAGAGTGTTGACTGTGGAGCTGAGCAAACTTCTGTTAATCCAGATTACCTTCATATTCATTCCCCCACAAAATTTTACAAGAACTTTTATATCTACAGTTATTTCAGTACCCTCACTGTACTGTTTTAGTACATGAGTTCCTTCAGCTTTTTCACCCAGATTAAGAACACATACTGGTTGGACCAACTTCTCACCATTTCAAGGCTATTTTTCTAACAGAATTATGTAAATCAACTCTGGATTTAGGCCTTGGTTCTGCAAGTACACTACATGTAACAATAGTTTCTCAAGTGCTAAGTAGAAGACAAAAAAATCCTACACACTCTAAGAATCTTGGCATGTGTAGCTAATTTTATACTATTCTCTCATCTGATCCATCAAGAGAACAAAGATACTAATAAATACTCAACATTATAACATTCTTTGCTGTGAAAGAAAATTACATATGTATAGGTGTGCCCACGCGCGTGTGTGTATATATGTATATGTGTGTGTGTGTATATATATAAATATAAATAAATAAATTACCAAAAGAATGGAACAAAACCTGACTAACTTTATTGAACATACTGAACATCTTGTTCAAAGATTCTATAGCAGAATTTTGACCCAAATGGGGACAATGCAGAACAGAATTTCAAATTTAGACTCCAGATTTCCTGGAGATACAAGAGAGGTTTGATGAATCCTTAAACTACTGCCTAAATTAATCTTTAAATCTTCTGAAGTATTCGTAAAACTAAGCAATGGCTTAACTAATAAAAACTGTCTGTTTTGAGCATTTAAAATTTATGTATCAAATGCACAACAGCAATTCCCAAGATTAGATAGGATTTTAGAGGACAGTGAGTCTATGCGAGTGAAAAGAAGTAACTCATTAGGAGGATGAGAACAGTTGTACAACTTAAATACTGTAATCAATGTCACTATATGGTATATGCATAAATTGCAAACTGGTGTAAATTTTGCTGTGTATGGTATTTCCTCAAAAAAGACTCCACTTGTCATCAAAGCAATTCCCTCAAACATCCCTCTGCTAGTTCTTAACTGCTCAGCACTCACCTCTCTTACAGAAAATCTTTATAGCTCCTGTTGTTATTATGTGCCATCGAGTTGCATGTGATTTACCATTACCCTACATAGAATAGCTCTGAACTCTGCCTTATCCTGAGCCAGTGATTCCAACATACTTCCCCCTTTGCTCTAGTTACCATGACAATCCATCTCATCAAGGGTTTTCCTCTTATACAGTCTCTCTCCATCCTTCTAAGTTTGATGTCCTTCTCTAAAGATTGGTCTCTCCTGGCCATGTGCCCAAAGTATGTGAGATGAAGCTTAAAAATCCTTGCCTCCAAGGAGAAACTTGGTTTCACCCTCTCCAAGACAGACCTATTTGCTCTCCTGGTTGTACATGGTATATATTTAATACTCTTCTTCAACACTACAACTCAAAGGCATCAATTCTTCTGTCATCCTAAGTCACTGTCCAGCTCTGATGCACAGCAAGTAACTGCAAAGACCATGGCCTGGATCAAACGTACCTTAATCTCTAGATTGACATCATTGCTTTATAGCATTTTGCAAAGATCCCGGACAACAGATTTTCCCAATGAAATTTGTGGGCCAACTGGCAGCACCATATTAGATGGAGAAGAGATAGAGGTTGTTAACAATTACAGCTTGCTCAGATCCACAATCAACACTCTTTTAACACAAGCAGTCAGGAAATCAAAAGACGAATTGCTTTGGGAAAACTGCTGTCATGGATCTCTCCAGAGTGCTGAAGAGCAATGATGTCAGTCTAGATACAAAGGTATGCCTAATCCAGGCCATGGTCTTCTCAATTACTTGTTATACTTCAGAGAACTTGACAAGAACTAAGGATGACAGAATAGATGCCTTCGAGTTGTGGTGCTGGAGAAGTCTTGAACATACCACAGACTGCCAAGAAAACAATTAGGTCTGTCTTGTAGAGGGTGAAGCAAAGTCTTCCCTTGGGAGGCTAGCATTTTGAAGCGCCACCTCACTTACTTTGGCACATGGCCAGGAGAGATCGGTCCCTGGAGAAGGACATCATTCTTGGAAGGGTGGACAGACAGCACAGGAGAGGGAGACCCAGAATGAGATGGATTGATACAGTAACTGGAGTTATGGGGGTTGGTGTGTAGGAGTTAGTGAGACTGGCTCAGGACAGGGAAGGGTTTAGAGCTGCTGTACATAGGTGTGTTATACATTGCAAGCGATTCAATGTCACATAACAATAATACCAAACTGTGACAGGTTTGGAAGCAGGAGTGGCATCCACTTCCTAAATAACATGTCTCCAAAAACTCTATGAACTTTGATAAATATTGATAGTTGTAGAGGGTTTTCAAGCCTTTTGTTCATAGGTGTTCTCAACTCGAAGGCAATCAACAGTAACAACAACATTTATTAATAAGGATGGCAGAAGAAGAATCAATGACTGAGTTATGGTGTTGGGAGAAGAGTACTGAATATCCAATAGACTGTCAGAGGAGTACATCAGTCTGTCCTGAAGGAAGTGCAACCAAAGTGCTCCTTAGAATCAAGGTTGGTGAAACTGCCTCATATTTTGGGCATGTTTTCAGGAGAGGCCAGTTCTTGCGCACGGCATTCTGGGAAAGGCAGAGGGTCAGTGAAAGAGAAGATGGCCCCCAACAAGATGGACTAACCCAATCAATGTAACAATGAGCTCAAGCACATCAGAGATTGTGAGGATGGCACAGGATAGAGTATGATTCAGATCTGTTGTTCACAGATCGCTATGAGTTGTTGGTGACTCAATAGCCCCCAACAGCTATAAAAAGGTGGTACTAAATCTTAACCATGGGAGGCACACGCACCTGATCTTTTAACTGGCAGAGCTCTCTGCACCCCAGCTATCTCTCAGTTGGAAACATATGGAGGCATTTTTGTCATGCTGACTGGACTGGCATTTAGTGCCAAAAGAAAGAAACGGCAAAACTTCTTACAATCTGCTGACAGTACAAATAACTATGTAGAATCATAGTTCCTTTATTTAAAAGGTGAGAAAAGTGGCTAGCCAAGCCAAGAAACTTATCTTTTGAAATCATTAGATGCTTTTTTATTTAGTTTAATTGATCTACATTTTTTTTCAACACTGAAGCAAAGATTAACCTGTATTTTTCCCTTCCTCATTCCTTAAGAAATTCCAGTTCTACCTATCACTCATCTTTCTAAAAGAGTAGTAGAGTTTCATTTACAAGTTTGAAGAGATATTTTTTTGATCCAAACAGGAGTGGCATCAGCTTCCTAAAGAACATGCCTCTGGAAACTATGGGTTGTAGAGGGGTTTCAGGCCTTTTGTTCACAGGGTTGCTATGAGTCACGCTCAACTCAAAGGCAATCATCAAACCAAGTATTTTCAATTGTTTTCTATGTATATGAAAGTTGGAAAATGAGTAAGAAAAACCAAAAAAGGAACAGAAACCTTTAATTTGTGGCACTGGAAAAGGGTACTAAATATCCTGTGGATTGCAAAAGAACTCCAAAACCAACCACAAAAATAAATGACCCCTCAAATAAGTCTGTCTTGGAAGAAGTAGAACCAGATATTCCTTCATCTCCCGTATCTTGGGCACATTACTATCCAGTGCTTGGATAAAGACATCATGATGGGAAAGGTCAGCTAAAAAGAGGAAGACCCTCAATGACATGGACTGACACAGCTGAAGGTAAGAGACCAAGGTTGTTCATCAGGTCACTAGGAGTTGTAATCAACTTGACGCCTAACAAGAAACCGGACTGCTAGTCAAAGGGTTTTCTATGGTGGAAATGACAACTTAAGAGGAATGTGTCAAATTCATCAAGGAACATTTCAAGATCTATTGTGAAGAACAGTGTTATCAGTAATAGGACAATATCCATATCCATACAAGGAAAACCTATTAATACAAATAGTTAAATATACAGACCAAGCAAAATTCTAAAACTAAGGATGAAGAAACTGAGGATTTCTATTCACTTTTGTACTAAAAATTGAACAAACATTCAATTAAGAAGTATTACTAACTGATGTTGTTAAGTGCTGTCAAGGTGAGCATGGCTCATAGTGACCCTATGAACAACAAATCTGAACCCAGTCCTACCCTGTGTCATTCTTATCATCCCTAACACACTTAAGCCTGCTGCCACAGTTATTGTATCAATGCATCTCACTGAGGGTTTTCTTCTTTCACTGACCTTCCACCTTCCCAAGCATCATGTTCTTTTCCAAGGAAGAGCCTCTCCTGACATCCCCAAAATAAGTTAGATGGAGCTTCACCGCCCTTGTCTTTAAGGAGCACTCTGGCTAAACTCCAAGACAGATCTGTTTGTTCTTTTGGCAGTCCTTGGGATATGTAGTACACTCTTCTCCAACATAGATCAAAAGCATCATTTCTTCTTTTGTTATCCTTATTCAATGCTCAACTGTCAAATGCATAGCAAGTGACTGTAAAAACCATACTTGAATCAGGCACACTTTAGTCTTTAAAATCACACCATTACTCTTCAGGACTTTGGCGAGGCCTTGACAGCACTTTCTCAATGTTATATATCTCCTGAAATAGTGATACATTATGGCCTTAGTGACAGAAATTAGATGATAGAATTTTGTAGAATTAATGACTTATTAATTGCAAATACCTTTAAAAAAACCCCGAAACAACTATATACATGGACCTTACCTGATGGAATTACACAAGCATCAAAGACTACATTTGTAAAATAAGACAAAGCAGTCAAAGCAAGGCCATGAGGTGACTGTGGAAGGTATCATCAATTACTATATGCAAGTTCCGGCTGAAGCTGAAGAAACTAAGAAATCTATAGAGTCAAACTGTAACTGTGAACTTATCCCACTTCAGTTTAAAATTATGTCAAGTATAAATTTGATCCAATGAACAAAAATGACCAAAGAATGTAGGATATTATCAAGGGTACTATAAGGAAGCAAGCAAAGGACTTAAAATTACAAAACAAAAATTTAAAAAACCGACCAAAATAAATGTCAGAAGAGACTCTGAAACTTGATCTTCAACTCCAGAAAAGAGAGAAATCAAATAAGATAGGATTGTTGATAAAAGCTAAAAGCAGAGGATACCAGAAAGATGTTTATATGTATCTTATTGACTACATAAATGCATTTGATTGTATGGATCTCAATAAACTATGGCTAACATTGAGAAGAATGGAATTCCAGAAAATCTAATTGTGCTTATGTAGTACCTGCAAACAGACCAAGAAGGAGCCATTCAAGTTGAACATACAGTCAGGAAAGGTGGGTATCAGGGTTAGTAACCCAAAGAGTTACTGACAGATGAGAATAAAATCTGGAAAGTTTATTTTCAGGTGGAGGGAAAAATGGGGGAAGAAAAAAAGAATTAGGGCAGCCACTATCCTAAAAACAGATCTTCCATGGAATATTTAAGTATACAAGAGATCTTAGTTACTTTGATGCATTAACCAGCAATTAAGTAAAATTATAATATGCCTAACACAGTGCCACATCACCAACTGGCTTTAGCTTACTTCAGTTTCTGGAAAGCAACTTGTACAAGTGAATAAAACTGTGTCTTAACACCATAAATTAATAAATCATAAATTTTCATTTTTAAAAATAGTCTTTTAACCTATTAAAAAGAAGGGTTCAGTGAAGTCAAAACCAAACAAGAAACTGGTCATACTACAAAATCTTCATTCTAGTTTTCATAAATTTTTAGCTTTAATGATTTTCACCTCAGTTACTTTTATAGAAACTGAATTCACACGTACCATTTGTTAAGTAAAACAATAGGTGCACCAACAAACAAGCCTCTATATTCTTACATAATCTCTTACCTCAAAACAGACAGAAATAATCTTAGAATCAGGTGACACATTCACCTTGGATTTGACATTCACTAGCATGAATGAAAAACGACTAAATAGAGGATTGATGACATACCTGAAAAACTTAACCCTATGATACCAGCATTATAGCAAAATATAGCTAATGCTAAAATAGAAACCAAACCCACTGTTGTCAGTTCCAATTCACTAGCAAGAAAAAAATCTAGTCAGACTAAACTACTTGCAGACTGTCAACCAAGTCAGGCTTTCTATATGGTTTTCACACCTACACAGACTCAGTTCAAGGAACTCTTATATAAAGCTCTTCTCCCCTTGATATGCCTAGTGTAGAGTTTATAAGTCAATGTGTTTCCACTGTATCCTCTATCTTTTTATTTCATTGTACTAGCTGTGATGTGTACTGTTGAACTGGAACCAACCCACAGCTGACCTTCCAGTAGATTTTCAGAGGCAGGTGTGCAGAAGACTGCCCATCTTTCTCACATGGTGCAGCTGGTGGGTTTGAATTGCGTACTTTTGGATTGATAGTGTAATCCCTACTCGTCACATTACATTTTGTTATTTTACAAATCTATCTTTTCCTACTACAGTATGAGTTTTCTGCTGGCTTCTTTTATCTCTAAATCTTTTACGGAATCATTAAAATAATGCTTTGCTCAGAGCATGTTACCTGATATACATTTGCAGAAGGAAGAAAAACATCATTTCATAGAACCTTATGTGTTTTGTGGTTGTGTGGAACCAACTCACAGATGACCCTCCAGCAGGTTTTTATAGGCTTTAAGTCACATGAGAGGAGACTGCCAGTCTTTTTCACAAATCAGCTGGTGGATTCGAACCATGTGCCTATTGAGTTGGCAAAACAACTTCTTACCTCTAGGCTACCAGAGCTCCCTACAGAATTTTATATAGAAAGGTATAATTTTCTTGCTAAATAAATTATTTTCTGAATGTTACAGGTAACTTATTCTTTCTGAATCCCTATTCTTTTAAATATATTTTAAAATAAGCAGAACAAGAAAGTGAAGGATACTTGGTGTTTTACGATCTTCATTAATAACAATCAGATCTGTAAAATCTCTTGAGATACATTGAGGAATAATTTTTTTCAGAGCCAGTCCTCTTCTGTAATAAACATGTGAATTTGGTATAACTGTGGAAAGCTGTTCACAGAGTTTTACTGTTCTCTGAAAAACAAAGTAACAAAAATCCACAAACATGAAAAAAACTGTGGTAAAACATTAGGGAAAGAATAGTTATTACATAACATCAAGTCCACTCCAACTCTTACAGATCACAAAAATCTCAAAGTAGAATAGTTTCAATTGTTGATTTTTTAGAATAGATCACCAGGCCTTTTTTTTATATGCCTTTAGGTAGACCTGAACCTTCAACCTTTTAGTTAGCAATCAATGGCACTCACCATCTGTTCCACCAAGAGACTCCAATGATTATTACTAAAAGAAACTCTTTTTCGGTGTAATAGGTTAATTGTTGAACTGCTAACCTAAAGGTTGGAAGTTCAAATCCACTAGTCACATTGCAGGAGGCAGTTCCCTTCCATAAGGATTTTCAGCTTCAGAAACTGTACAGAGGAATTCAGTATCATCCGATAAGGTCACTATGAGTTGGAATGAACATGATGAGCAAGACTAGGGAAAGAATGAGGTCTAAGTAGCATCTCATCCTTTATTAAAGGCAGATAGTCTAATATAGGACTGGTTCACAACCGAGAATGATTCTGCCCTCCCAGGAGTCCCTGGCAGAATCTGAAGGCATTTTTTAGTATTATGAATGGAAATAAAGTGCATGTGCCACTGCTTTTAGGAGACAGAGGCTAAGTATACTGTTAACCATCCTATAATGCACAGGATGGACTTCCAGAATACAAATTATCCAAAAATGTGGAATAGTACAAATATTAAGAAACACTACCATAAAGAATCATGTTTAGTGAATCACCAGTACTATATTTTGTTCATAGATATTATCAAAAACAGTGACTTTTTCTGAATATAGTTTTCAAAGTAATGTAATATATGAAATTAAGAGTTCAAGAACTATATACTAAACAATATGTTTACCCCATGAGGTCTGTCTGATGTTGTGATGAGAATCTTGGGAGAAGTTTGTCTGTTGAAGTAAGAAGCAAATTCATCTGTAGCTTCATCATAAGCAACCTATGAAGAAAGATTATTTTATTTTGAACAAATTATGTACTGAGGCAAGATGCTGACACCAGGCCCTGAGGCTGGTGTGGCCGGGCCTCCACACTGCCGCAGAATAGACTTGACTTGAACCAAGATGGCGGCAGCAGGAGATGTGGCGTGGTGAGCAGGCTTGGCCAGCCACATTGAGGCAGGCAACACAACTTAAATGTGCCCAAACAGCCAAGCGGTTGACTGCTGGTCATCAGTGTGGACTGGAGCTCAACATCAGGAGGAAGAGGATTCTGGGGGGAACATGGGTGTGTCCCACTTCCTCTCTGTGCCTGCCAGGACCCCATGCACTCACTGTGGCCAGGGCCCACAGGTCCCTTAGCCTAGAGTGGGAGGTTTGCTCCCTTTCCTATAAGTAACCTTAACACTGAGTTTTACTTCAGACCTGAACCCTGACCCAGTTCCAGAGACAAAAGGTAAATATAACTGCCAGTTAAGGAAGCAAAGGAGGATGAAGCCTCAGGGTTCAGCCAGCCATCTCCACTGGACCCACCATGGCAAATACTTTGCAGTCCAGAGGGCAGTAAACATCAGGGAAATATCTTCTAACAGAACAAGAAGGCAAGTAGCTTCAACTCAGGACCTCCAGTAAGGTATTTATACGGACTCCCCTTCCCCCTCCCTGCTCCACATCAACACCCCTGTTCAGCACGAAGAAGCCAGACAGTCTGTGCTCCATTCTCAAATGGGAAACCCACAAGTGAATAAAACAATTTCTTTGTTAAAAACAAACAAACAAACAATAATCACCAGTGGACTATGCTCACCATTATCCTGTTTCTTCTGGCCCCACTGGGTCTTTCTCATTTCCTTCACCTACTCCCCCTGCCCACCAAATTATACACAGCCCTGCAATTTCATCCCTGCTCATCCTTACCTTTCTGCTCCCAATCCTCACACCCTTGTATCCCCATACATGTTTTTCACAATAAATAAAATGGGAAAAAAACCCACCAAAAACATGTCTAATAAGTTAAATACCAATGTCTTCCTCATATAAAAAGCTATTATCAATAGTATTACCAAATATTAAATAATAAACATAAAAGTATATCTAGGCATAAAAATAATAATTTCTAGGAAAGAAATGCTTGTTTTCCTATAATATTATTGGGAATTTAAATTATGAACAGTATGCCAATATCTTATCTAAATAAATCCATTATACAACTTCACCAGCGTTTTAAACAAAGTATCTGCACAAGCACAGGTAACGAACAAATGTGGTCATTTAAATTTATTTGAGATTTCTAACATTACCTCTTCATCATTAGGATCTACTATGGTTTCATCATATACTCGTTGGTTGTCAATAGTTTTGGGCACAGGTTTGGGCGGAGCCTAAAAAATGAAAGTTTAGAAATATATTTTAGTACACTAGTGAACTTCAGCACACTTCTAAAAGAACTCTAAAAATAATAAACCGAATCCATTACTCATTTCAACCCCATGCTACAACAATCACACTGATAATTATGATGAGTCATACACATAGAGCTGTATATATGCTGAAGGAACTGCTAATACAGAAAAAAAATGGCTTAAAATTAGGCGGTAGCAGCAAAGAGAAGATGTAGGGATCAAAGTAATTCTCTACCACGGAGAAAAATATCAATGAATAAGAAAAAAATCAAAAGGAAAAGCTACAAAATGCATGTGCCTGTAGCTTTGTTCTAATAGCTCCAGAAAGCTATTCAGAAAGACATCAAAAAAGGTACAAATTTATTTCTATTTGATGGCTACCAGAACTTTCCAGTAATTACATCTATTTCTTTATTTTAAGGAGTAAAAAGGGGAAAGGAACAATATTTATAGGATATGTTTTAGAACTGTTCAAAATGAAAAAGAAATAAAAAGAAAATACAAATGTCCAACAGGGTAAAATGGTATATGGTATGAAAATTATGGTATTTCATCAGAATCAAGAAAAATGACCAATTAATGATAAATAAAATGTTAAATGAAAGAGGAGAAACACAGAATTATGACTAAAACTAAGTGGAAATACTAAGCATACTAGCATACTAGAGATGAGACCTATTTAGAGCTTTATATTTTTATTACCGTATGAGAAAAAGATTATCTTAATTTCTTAAAGGAAGTAGTCCTAGAAGTTATCTTCTAGTAAAAAAAAAAAAGACACTATTTTCAAATGGTGATCAGTATATTAATCTGCTATAACTGAGAATGATAAACTGTTCTTGAAGTCTTAGTCAATGAAGATTAATAAAAGATTATGAAAATTTGGGAGATTAACTGTCCTATGCACAAATGTCAAGGCAGAAACTGCATATATGTGTGAAATGAATAAAAGAATGATCACAAAAATATTTTTAAAAAATCCAAAACAAAACACTAGCATTACCTGATACAATTTCTCAGATCAAAACAGTCGATTATTGGATATTTCAGACAGTTTAACCTAACACTACAAAGTAAATAGATGATAAAATAGAATGTTTGATTTGAATGATCTTTTCTTTTTCCTTTTCTCAAAGATGTTACTTGGTATTACTTCTTAAGATAAAAGAAAAGAATGATTATTGCAGCATGGTTTAATAATTTTGCTGGCATAAATTATAATCTAAGAGTAATTATAAATAAAATATAACTAAATGAAAATAATTCTGCTATACTGCTGAGTATTTAATTCTTTTAAGACTTTTCAGCAGAAATCTTCTACTTCATATTGATAATACAAAAATAGTCAAAGCCTTTCTTGTTGCATTATCTGTTTTCCGTGCCAGACTCCATCTAGGCTTCTCTCTCTCCTCACACATCTTCACAGGATCACAACCTGTGTAAATTCATCCTTCTTCCACATCCCACATCCCTCCAGATGCCACTCTGTCCTCTTTCCCCATTCTTGCCTAGCAAAGAATCTTTGTCCTAAGTTGTAAGACTCAAACTGAGGACTCCCTTATTCTCAAAGTCAGGAAGCTGTTACTGTCCCTCGATCACATCAAGTTAACTAAAATGAGCAAGTTAAAGAGTATTCATTCATTTACTTATGATTTTGAAGATGCATAAGATAAACAGGATCATTTAAAGTTTAGGAATACAGGCATAAAAATCATAAAGAACTGCAAGGGAATAACAAACACAAATTTCATAGTGTTTATCTGTGGAGAGGAATACAATTAGAAGCACACAGAGGGCTTCCAACATTATTTGCTAGTGTGTTATTAAGCTGAACAGAGAATAGAATGCTTTGTTATCTTAATTTTATATCTTCTTACACATCTGAGCAGGAGAAGGATGGGAAATCTCCTCCCATGTGATTTACAACCTCTGAAAACCTGCTGTAAAAATAATTACGAGTCCATTTCAACTCGAAGGCCATGAGTAGAACTGTTTGCCCTTTAAAGCTCTCGTTTTTGCTTTAGATTATTAAGTTCATACACACAAATCTTTATAAGAACACTATGATCTAGGTAAATACTCTTTTTTTTTTTTTAGGTAAATATTCTTAATAATGCAATCAAATGGCTTAGTTTAATGATGGTATCATGTAGTGCATTTCATTCTACTGATTTTTGGCTCTTTCTCTCCTGTGCAAAACATTTCTCAATAGAAGAGTGTTAAAAATTTTACTTACCTTATCACCAAGAGCCTCTCTTTCTTTCTTAAGTTTTCTCTTAGCTGCCAACTTTTCCTAAAGGAATTTAGAGGGGGAGGGGGGATTGAAAGATTATCAGAAAAATAATGTAACAAAAATGCAACGATCGTATCACATAAAAATGATAAATTACCAACACAGTTAACTAACCACTTAAAATAAAAAAAAATATTTCAAGACCTATCCTAAAGTGTCAATGATAAGATAATACCCATACGAAAAAAGGAAGACCTGCTAAGACAATTATTATTCACACTTACGGACTAAGACCAAAGATGAAAAATTTTGAATCTCTCTACCAAATTTTGAAGCCTGAAATGGACCAAACATACAACCACTGTTTTTAACAAATCTGAACCCTGTCCTTATCCTGTGCCATCCTTATCATCTCTAATATGCTTAGCCCACTGCTGTAGTCACTGTCTCAACTGAGCTACAGTAATAACCAGTGGCTGAAATGCAAAAGTTGGAAACAAAAGACTGTTGTTATGTGCCACCGAGTGGAAAACAACTTAGAGCAACTCTATGAATAACAATCTGAACCCTATCCTGTGCCATCCTCAGCACTTCTGACATATTGAGCCCATTGCTCTAGTCACTCTGTTAACTCATCTGGTCGAGGGTCCTCCTCTCTTTTCATATTCCTCTACCTTTCCAAGGCATGATGTTCTTCTCCAAGAAATAACCTCTCCTAGCAACATGCCCAAAGTATATGAGACAAAGTTTTGTCATCTTTACTTCTAAAGAAGCACTTTGACTGTACTTCCTCCAAAATATATGCTTGTTCTTTTAGCAGGCAATGGGACACTCAGTATCTCCCAACACCACAGGATCAAAGCATCAATTCCTCTTCCATCATCCTTATTCACTGATAGATGGAAGAATGACTGAAACTGTCAGTGATGTTATCTTACTTGGATAGACAATACCACTGGTACTAGTGGTCAGGATACATATTGCACTGGAAAAGTCTGCAGTCAGGGTCCTCTCCAAATTACTGAGGAGCAATGATGTCAACTTTGAAGACTAAAGCGTGCCCAACTCAGGCCATAGTTTTTTCAATTACTTGCTATGCTTCTGAAAGCTAGACAATGAATAAGGATGAGAAAAAAAGGAATGACGATTAGGAAATAGGGGCTTTGTAAGAGAAATGAGACTGAACATCAAGAGACAATTTTGTGTGACAAGTGACTTACTTATTCAAAACATCATATTTTAAAAGCATAAATGGAAACCATATGCATGGAGCTTGGCAGATAGAATACCAAAGAATCTACCACATTTAAAGAAAGAAAGGTGGACAAACTCAGTATCATCAGTCAGAGTAAGACCAGTGGCCAACTGTAGAACAGACTATCAATTGCTCTTAAGAAAATTCAGTTGAAGCTGAAGAAAATTAGAACAAGTCCAAGAGAGCTAAATTTTTAATATATCCTACTTGAATTTAAAGATTATCTCAGGAACAGATTTGATAAATGAAGACTAGGTAAGATCTGAGATACTATCAAGATCATAGGAGATAAAAACCTAAAGTCACAGAAAAATAAAGATCAAAATGGATGTAACAAGAGACTCTGAAACTAGTTCTAGAAGAGAGAAGTGAAAACAAATGAAGAAATGAGGCATTAAATCGCTAAACAGGTTTCAAAGAACAGGTCAATGAGACAAAGTATTATAAAGAAATGTGTACAAACCTTGAGTTAAAAAAACAAAAGGATGAACATATTTAGCATTGCTCAAACTGAAAGAACTGAAGAACAAATGTAAGCCCCAAGTTTTAATACTTAAGGATTTTATGGGCAAAATATTGAATTATGCAGGAAGCATCACAAGAAGATGGTAACTGGACCAGTAAGAACTGGTTGATGCTCAACCATTTTAGGAGAGACAGCACATGATCAAGAATCATTGGTCCTGAAAAAAAATGTCCAAGCTGCGCTGAAATCATCAATGAAAAGCAAAGTCACAGGAATAATGGAATACTAACTGAAATGTTGCAGCAAAAAGATGCCATATGAAGAAATTTGGAAGGCAGCTATGTGACCAACCTACTAAAGATTCTATATGTCCTCACTCCAAGAGAAGATGAATCAAAAGAACGGGAAATTAAATCGTTAATGTCACTCCAAAATACTCAAAATCAGTGCTGTTGAGTGGGAAATGACTTACAGCAAACCCTCCACTGGGTTTCAGAGGACACAATTACAGAGGAAATAAGACAATCTGGAGCATGTATGAACTACCTTGGAGGTGTGACCACTGAACTACAAGCAAAGCACTCTATGGACCACACTCAGAGGTCCCTCATTAAATAGAGTATGCCAAATTAGATAAATGTATACTTGTGTTTTACTGACTATGCAAAAACATTCATTCTACTGTATGGGTCATTAACAAATTATGGGTACACTTATGATGAAAGAGAAGTTCAGAACACTCAAGAGAACATGTAGTCCAACAAACACAGTGCAAACAAAACAAGGGGATACTTGTATGGTTTAAAATCAGAAAAAGTTTCCACCATACCTGTATGTTGAATAAATAAAAAAAAGAAACTGATCGTAAGAAAATGTAGCATCAGAACTGGAGGAAGACTCATTTTACCAGTATGCAGATGTCATCTTGCAAAAAAGGAAGGAATATCTGAAATACTCATGAAGCCTTCAGTATGGATATATTTCAAAATAAAGCACAATCCTCACAGCTAAGCCAATAAAGATCATTAAGATAAACAGAGAAGAGATTGTAGTTTTCAAGGACTTAATTTTACTTAATCACAATGAATATTCATGAAAATAGTAATCAAAACAATCCAATTATTACCTAGGGTGAATCTGCTGCAAAGAATCTTTTAAAGTACTTAAGACCAAAAATACCAGTTTAGACTTGGTAGCTGTGCCTGGCCTCAAGTCACAGTATTTACAGTAGTCTCATTACAAAAAAAAAAAAAAAAAAAGGAAAGAAAGAAAAAGGGGGAGTTCCCCTGGTGGTGGCCTAGTTGGTGAGAAGTTGTGCTGCTAATCAAAAGGCAGAGAGGGTTTGATTAGATCGATTGCTCCTCACTTGCTCTTTGAAGAAAGACTGGCAATCTCTTCCCATGCAAGCGGTCTCACATATGTTTAAACTGGATAAAGAATGAAGAACAGCAAAGAATTGATGCCTGTGAATACTGCATATATCATGGACTGCTAAAAGAATAAACAAATCCGTCTCAGAAAAAATGCAGTCAGAATGCTCCTTAGGAGTATTATGAGACTTATTCCTTTGACTATTATCTGTCTGCTCCAAATCCCTGGAGAAAGACATTATGCTTGGTAGAGTTAGTGTTAAGTGCCGTGGGCTGCAACCAACTCACAGCTAATACCCTCCAGTGGGTTTCTATGGCTATACATCACACAGGAGAAGACTGCTCATCATTCTCCCACCAAGCAGCTGGTAGATTTTGACTTTGTTTCTTTGGGTTGGCAGCATAATTCCTTACCACTAGGCTGTAAAAACTCCCTCTACCCTTGAAAGTGATATAAATGATGTTGTTGTTGTTATGTGCCATCGAGGTGCTTGCAACTCATAGCGGCCCTATGTACAACAGCTCTAAACTCTGCTCTGTCCTGTGCCAATCTCATTGTCTCAGACACACTCATCCCAAATGTCCCAGTCACCGAATCAATCCACCTCCCAGAGGGCCTTCCTCTCCTGCGCCTGCCCTCCACCCTCCCAAGCATGATGTCCCTCTCCAAGAATCGGTCTCTCCTCACAACATGACCAAAGTATGTCAGACAAAGCCTCAGAATCCTTGTCTCCAAGGAGAGCCTGGTTTAACCCTCTCCAGGATGAAATCTGTTTGTTTTCTTAGCAGTCCATGGTATTCTCAAAACTCTTCTTCAGCACCAAAGCTCAAAAGCATCAATTATCCTTATATCCTCCCTGGTCATTGTCCAGCTCTAACGCATAACAAGTAATTGCAAAGACCATGGCCTGTACTAGACACACCTTAGTCTCCAGAGACACACTGTTGCTCTTCAGTACTTTAGAGAGATCCCTAACAGCAGACTTTCCAATCGTAATATGTCTTTTAATTTTCTGGCTGCTGGTGCCAAGAGTGTTGATTGTGGAGCCAAGCTGACTAAAGCTGTGAACAAGCTCAATCTCTTCACCATCCATCATGATGCTGTCAATTGGTCCAGTGGTGAGAATCTCTGTCTTCTTGACATTGAGCCTCAATCCATATTGTAGGCTGCAGTCCTTGACCCTCTGCAGCAAGCACTTCAGGTCCTCCTCAGTTTCAGCAAGCAGGGTTGTGTCATCTGCATAATGCAGGTTGTTGATGATTCTTCCATCAATCCTGCTGCTGCATTTCTCCTCATAGAGCCCAGCCTCTCGGATGATCTGTTCATACAGGTTGAAAAGGTATGGAGACAGGACACATTCCTGGCGTACGCCCTTCCCAATTTTGATCCATGCAGTGTTTCCTTGCTCTGTTCTGATGACTGCCTCTGGGTTCAAGTACAGATTTCGCATTAGCATGATCAAGTGTTCTGGGATTCCCATCCACAGCTTATTATGGTCCACACAGTCAAACACCTTTGCATAGTCAATGAAGTACAGATTCCTCTGGTACTCCCTGCTTTCAGCCAAGATCCATCTAACATTAGCTACAATATCCCTAGTACCACGACCCCTTCTAAAACCAGCCTGGACTTTTGGTAGTTCTCTGATGATGTGTTGTTCCAGTAGTTTTTGGATAATCTTCAGCAGAATCTTGCTTGCATGTGAAATCAACGATATTGTTCTATAGTTTCCACATTCTGTGGGGTCACCTTCCTTCTCCAGGAGAGCATCTGGTAGATTCGAACCGCACACCTCAGGGGTTGCAGTGCAGCTTCTTACCATTAGGCCACCAGAGCTTCTGATATTAATATACTGTTCAATAATTTTCACACTCTGTTGGGTCACCTTTCTTTGGAATGGGAAAAAATATCCATCTTTTCCAGTCAGTCAGCCAGCTGGCTGTCCTCCAGATTTCTTGGCACAACTTA